CAGATTCACGCAAAGAACCTTGTCTGCCTATGCCCTTAGACTGACACGGCTACAACCTACACCCTTGCAAGGTGAAATACATTTACATGGTTAAATAATACCAAAGATAAAGGGAATGTTAGCAAAGAAGAAAATATTTTCAGAATAGATTCTAACACAAAGTAAAAGCTGCATCTTATGAAAGGAAAATAAGATGTGCACTGCAAGGAAAAGCTCCTGTCATCACAGAAAGTGAAGTTTTTAAATAAATATTTTACAAAGGGACAAGCCATGAGATGTAGCAACTTTCCCTGGTCATTTCAAATCAAGCCCAATTTATTCCTGACTCAGAATTAGAGTTGGATGATATTTGGTGGTTCCAGTTCAGTTTTCTTGGGGGCAGATGTACCTCCTCTATATTTTTATACTGATTTGCAGTCCTCCTGACTACTTCAGCAGCAGGATAAGAGTGTGATTAAAAATGTGTAGACGTATAGGTTGTAGCCATGTTGGTCTAAGGACATAGGTAGAGAAGGTTCTTTGGGTAAATCTGATCTTTTATTAGACCAACTCAAATAATTGAAAAAAATTCTTCTTTGCAAGCTTTTGGGTATAAATACCCTTCATCAGGCTGAGGAAGCCTCTGTAGTTGGTGAGTGCTCTTCTTGGATGGAACATTAAAAATGTTGGCAAATACTTTACAAACAAGGAGGGGCTCTTAAAAGCCCCAAAATGAGTTGTGAATGGAAGTCCTATTAAAACGCATTGGGACTTTGTCTCTCTAATTCATTTTGGTGCTTTGGAAAATCTAATCCTAAAATGACAGACTTTGTCCTGAGGTTTCTAAAGATGAAAGTAACGAAAGAACAAGCAAGCATATGGTAGAATCTGTCATCAGTATGACTTGTTCATTCTTCATATGTACCTGTTGCTGTTTCCTATTACATAGAGCTTCTTTGAAAACAGAACTGGGCTTCAAGAAAGATATGTATTTGCAGGAGAGATTTCAAAGAGGGGATGAAGGCATGGCAGACAAAAACAGGAAGTTATATGTAAAACTTTGTTTAGAAACTGAGGTAAAATTCTTCCCTCGAGTCTTCCTCTGGATCAGGATTAGGGCAGAAGACGTCGTTTAGACAGCCAGTGTGCTTGTTTTGCGAATAATAGTGCCTCATTAACTTGGCACCTTTCTCCAGCATGAAATGATGGTAACTAAAAAGCCAAACAATTCTAAAGCAAATGCAGTAAATAAATAAATAATTTGTATGAATCTTTTGTCTTATTTTTGTTTAAGTCTTACTAGCTTCTCTCAGTAAAACGTATCTTAGAGGCAGTAAGACAGGCTGAGTTTGAGAAGCAGAATTTAAAGAACCATTGAGTTACTTTGTATTGGTATCATTTGTATTTTCAGAGTACTGTGGCCAGAGTCCCAAGTTTTCCCAATTCAGGTTCCTCGCTTGTATCAAACACAAGTGAAGGAAGGGCATTCAACAGCTGCTGAGAGCAGCTCTGCTGGGGTGCAGCTGCTCCTCTGGTTAAGAGCAAGTAGTTCGAAGTAAATAAAAACTCCATTGTGGGCACATGACTATACAGAGAGAGTTTAGACTTGGGGGTGGGCAATTATTTCACCTGAAGGGTCACTTAATGAGTTTTGGCAAGCTGTTGAGGGCTGCACACATAAAATTAATGGTGAAGATAACATTTAAACAAAGTATAGATGCATACCAAATCAAATCATAAAAATCAAACATCTACTATAAAATATTTTATTTAAAAAATTAATTGGTGTCTTATTTTTTGTTGAATAGCATATGCAGAGGCGAGACTCGGCCAAAGGAGGACACCACCGTCCCAGGAAAGCCCTGCTGCCACCCAGCCACCTCTGGGATCACGAGGGAGCTCCTGCCTCAGCCTGCACCTCATGCCCCTTGAGCCGCCTGCACCCCATGCCTTCCCATCTACACTTGCCCCCACAAAGCCTGGGGAAGCCCAGTGGGCCCCCTCCAGCCTGCCCCAGTTCCCTGTCTCAGACAGGATGGGAACTGTGCTGGCTGCATTCGGTGGGAAGGTGTCCGGGACGAATCCAGTGCTGTCTACCTGGGTCATGAGATCTCCTTTGCAGGAGGCTTTTGAGTGCAGCCGAGGCCTGTCCAGGTGGTTCAAACAGGGGTGATCCTGCCCCGAGCTGAGGGGGATGCAATGGCCTCCTGGGGGCCCTTCCCACCCTGCCATGTTATGAAGCAGGAGCCAGGATGTTGGGAGACTCCCGAGATTGGGAGTCGGCAGTCAGAGGCCAGCAACCCATCCGCACTTCATCTCCAGTCCCTGCAGTGAGCGTCTGCCTGGGGGGACACCGGGACCCCCAGCTGTGCACAGGGCGGCTCCCTGCCCCACAGCACCCGGGGGGGCGGCGCCTTCCTCACAGCTCATCTCCCTTCATTAGTACCGGCTGCTGACGAGGTGAGACGCTCAGCATCCGCACCCCCAATCAGCACAGTGACACCCCAGCACCTCAGTGACCCCCTTGTTACCTCAGCGACCCATTACCTCAGTGACCCCCCCACACCTCGGTGACCCCCCTCACACACCTCATCGACACCCCTTACCTCAGTAATTCCCCCCCATTACCTCAGCGTCCCCCCGCAGAGCAACGGCCGCACGCCCCT